GCACACTCGCCCCTCATTTTAAAATTGGACTAACGGTGTTAATTTTTTACTTGTTTAACATACCCCTTGATACTTTTTATTTTTGACAACTTATTCTAAGTTTGACCTAGTTTTATTTTATTTTTTATTATATATATACATACACACATATTTACATAGATATACATACATACACAAACACACACCTATAACACGCGGCTACTCACCTATTCTTCTTTCTCTTTCTTTTTTGTTCTTTCTTCTTCCTTTCTTTTCTATTTTTTTTTCACCTCTGTATTTTTCTTTTTTAAACATAAAAATACACACATACATACATATTCTTTTCTTTTTTCTTTTTTCTTCTTTTTCTTTTTATCAATTTTTTTTCACCTACGTTTCTTCATTTTTTACACATAAACACACATATATACATATTGATTATCGATTCTTTTTATTCTGTTTGTTAGATTTACAAATCGAGTACCTAAATCGTAAAATCTAATTGTTTTTGTACTCATTCGAATTCGATTAAAACTCTTACCAATTTGAATTTGGGGAGTCTGAAATTTAACCCAAATCTTGAGAAAAACATACCTAATTTGAGAAATCTTGCAAAAAAACATGTTTGTTTCAGACATAATATCATTGTCCGGTTCTAAATAAAGTTTTTATTGAGTTCACGCACATAGTCGTTGTAAAAGCTACTGGAAATGTGTTATGAATAAGGTTTTTATTGTGTATGAAGTTTCTGATTTTCAAGTCGAATTTAGATTGCAACTGTTCGAGTCTCGTGATGTGCTTTAAATTTAATTTAAATTTTTGCTCAAATTTATTCTATTATGTAAATTGAGGTGAGTTGAAATTGAGGAATAAAAGAAAATGAAGAAGAGAAGAGAGAAGAGGAATGATAAACGGAAAGGGAAGGAGAAGAGGAAGAGGAAGGAGAATGAGAATGAGAGAAGATTGCATATAATAAAGTCAAATTGTCATTTTAGTAACTTCATAGAGAGATTTACCAAAAATCGCATTTGAAGCGCGTGAGAGACACTCTCCGTTAAGTCCTAACGAATGAGTGTTTTTTTGTAACGTTTTACAAACCACAAGTAGATTTTTTGAGTTTTAGAACCAAATGAGGTTTTTAGTAAATTCAGCAAACCACAGGAGTATTTTATTTAATTTTGCCAACTTTTTACCATGAGATTAAAATTGATGATTTTTTTTTTTTTTTTTTCATATTGAAAGCAAAATTGATATCATTAAGTTGTATTGAGACTAATATTTATTTTTTCCATGTAATTTTTAACTATATCAACTATTTTAAATTCAATATATATTTTTTTAAAAAATAAAAAATTAAATTATAGATCAAAATAGAGAGTAACATGGTTGTGTACAATTAAACACGGTGCTATGACAATATGAATGTGTATAATTGTACACAACTGTGTAGACACTAAAAATATATGTCTAAATTCAATTAAATATCATATATTTTGGAAGAAAATAAAATTTCAATAAAAGAACTATATGATATTTAATTATACACATATGTTAATTTTTTTTACAATAAATATCAACCATTAAATCTGCTAAAAATGGAAGATATCATACAAATATTACGTACATAAATAGCGTCATAATAAATTTGACAGCAAAATAAATTAATCTTATCAATTAAGGAAGTATATAAATTAATATCTTCCGAAAAGAGAAATAATATAAAGATCTTGACAAGATAGGAATACGCACAATTAAATCCTTCAAGAATGGAAAACGACATCTGATGAAAAATGAAGGATTATAAAATCTTTCTATTGGTCAAACGGGATGCGCCACATGGCACCATCCGAAAAGGAAGCCAAGGCCACCCTCCCCTATAAATAGAAGTCTTGGCCAATTCATTACACACTGAAGTTGCATCGAGGATCCAAGCAAAGTAGTAAGTCTCTAGACTCTTTCTGTATTGTTCTTCATGTTCTTCGTGTCTATCGTCGAAAGTCACTGATTTGGACAAATGATCCAATATTGGTTGATGAATCAATGGAGTTAACGTTCTTCGTTGTATGTCCAAGCCGGAGGAAGGATCAAAGCTCCCAACGCCGTTGAGGAATTCGTCAAAGCCAAGGGAAGGTCTCCAAAGTTCCTCTCAAAGCTTCAGGATGTTCATCGCGTTCTTCAACAAAACATCAACTAGGCCCTCTTCGATCCAAAACTCAAATGGACACGCCACCAAAAGTGTCATGGAGCACCAAATCCACATCTTTAAGGATCAAATCTCCAAAAGCTGTTGAAGAATCCATCAAAGCCAAGGAAGAGTATCCAAAGTTTATCCCAAAGCTTCAAGGTATTCATCGCGTTCTTCACCAAAGCATCAACTCGACCCTCTTCGATCCAAAAGTCAAAGGGACATGCCACCAAAAGCGTTATGGAGCACCAAATCTACCTCCTCAAAGATCAAAGCTCCAAAAGCTGTTGAAGAATCAATCAAAGCCAAGGAAAAGCATCCAAACTTCATCCCAAAGCTTCGAGGTGTTCATCTCGTTCTTCACTAAAGTATCAACTTGGCCCTCTTCAATCCAAAAGTCAAAGTGACATCCACCAAAAGCGTTATGAAGCACCAAATCTACCTCCTCAAAGATCAAAGTCGCGGATCATCAAAAGAAGACATTAAATCCAAAGTCGATGATCAAATCGCCCACATGGAGACTGAAGTCCTCCAAAAGCGGCAAAGCTAAACCAAAGATCAAAGCTGTGGATCGTCCAAATAAGACATCAAATCCAAAACCGATGATCAAATCGCCCACACGGAGACCAAAGTCCTTCAAAAGACGGAAAAGGCAAATCAAAGATCAAAGCCGCGGATCGTCCAAAGAAGACATCAAATCCAAACCCGACGATCAAGTCGCCCACACGGAGACCAAAGCTCTCCAAAAGGCAGCAAAGCCAAACCAAATATCAAAGCTGCAGATCGTCCAAAGAAGACATTAAATCCAAAGTCGACGATCGAATCACCCACACGGAGATGAAAGCCCTCCAAAAGGTGGCAAAGCCAAATCAAAGATCAAAGCCACGTATCGTCCAAAGAAGATATCAAATCCAAAGTTGAGGATCAAATCGTCCACACAGAGGCCAAAGCCCTCCAAAAGGTGGCAAAGCCAAATCGAAGATCAAAGCCACGGATCGTCCAAAGAAGACATCAAATCCAAAACTGAAGATCAAATCATCCGCACGAAGACCAAAACCCTCCAAAAGGTGGCAAAGTCAAATCAAAGATCAAAGCCATGTATCATCCAAAGAAGACATCAAAATCCGAAGTTGAGGATCAAATTGTCCGCATGGAGACCAAAGCCCTCCAAAGGTGGCAAAGCTAAATCAAAGATCAAAGCCACAGATCGTCCAAAGAAGACATCAAATCCAAAGTTGAGGATCAAATTGTCCGCACGGAGACCAAAGCCCTCCAAAAGGTGGCAAAGCCAAATCAAAAATCAAAGCCACGGATCGTCCAAAGAAGACATTAAATCAAAAGCTGATGATCGAATCGCCCATGCGGAGACCGAAGCTCTCCAAAAGGCGGAAAAGACAAACCAATCCGCGAATCGTCCAAAGAAAACATCAAATCCAAAGCCGACGATCGAATCGCTCACACGGAGACCGAAGCTCTTCAGAAGACGGAAAAAGCAAACCAAAGCTCAAAGCTGTGGATCGTTTAAAGAAGACATCAAATCCAAAGCCGATGATCAAATTGCCCACACGGACACCAAAGCTCTCCAAAAGGCGGAAAAGACAAACCAAAGATCAAAGTCGTTGATCGTATAAAGAAGATATCAAATCCGAAGCTAATGATCAAATTGCCTATACGGAGACCAAAGACTTCCAAAAGATGACAAAGCCAAATCAAAGATCAAAGCCTTGGATCATCCAAATAGGACATCAAATTCAAAGCCGATGATCAAATCGCCCGTACAGAGACCAAAGCTCTCTAAAGTTCGGCAAAGTCAAATCGAAGACCAAATCTCTTCGGATCAAAGAAACTATTGAAAACCAAATTGGAAAACAAATCGACCCGGAAAGAGAATCAAAAGACCCATTTAGAGAATATGATCCGCTTTAAATCCAAATTAAATATAATTTGCACAAATTTTTGGGTTTATTAAAAATAACACAATTTTTTGTCTACACCATGGACATGTATAATTTATACACGACTGTGTTGTTTCAATGTTAGGTGCCACGTCACTCCAATTATGTCAACGTCAATAATTTTCGTTAATTTTTTAACGGTTATACCAAAATTGGTTAAAATTGTTTATAATGAGACTAAAATTGATGTATTATATATATTAAGACAAAATTGATATATTTTAGTTATATTGAAACTAATATTGATTTTTTTTTTCAATTTAATTTTTAACTATATCAACTATTCTAAATTAATATATATATTTTTAAAAAATAACAAAAAAAATTAGATCAATACAAAAAGAAATATGGCGGTGTACGATTGAACACGGCCGTATGAGAATGTCGCGATGTACAATTGAACACGGCCGTATGAGAATATCGCGATGTACGATTAAACACGGATGTATAACAATATGAGCGTCTATAATTAATTGTATACGACTGCGTGACAATAGACATATATAATTGTATATAACAGTGTTATTTTTAAGTCAATTTCCATAATGTTACGTTCACATCAATAATTTTAATATTCTAATTTTTTAATTATATAAAAAATTAATAAAATTTTACTTTGAAAAGAATTATACACTTTAATCTTATTTTAAAAATTTAAATTTATATTTTTTTTAAATTTTAATTTATCTTCATCTTAATCTAGATAATTATATTTATAGTAAAGTGGAGGGAGTATTACTTATTATTATTATTAATTAAATATTACTTGAACATGATAGGTGGGATAGAAGAAATACTATGTAATAATAATAAAGATTCCATTTATGGGAGCGAGGCACTAATAACATCTCCTGTGCATAGCAAGTTACCACGAGTAAATATAATACACGGTTTTTTGTTTTTTCGCGACCGTCTCGTCGTCGTAAATTCAATCAAGTTCACTCCGAGCACAAAGCGAGTCGAGGTTAACAATGCAAAATACAGAGATTCAGACAACACCTCACGTATTGAATTTGAAGCTTTCTTCTTCTCCCACTTGTTTTACCCAAAATTAGGGTTTCTCTTTTACCAATACTTGTTCTTGCTTTGCTGCTTCACTTCCTTTCTTTAGGGACTAGGGTTTATACTCTTGCATCACATTTTCTTTTTTTGGGGGCTGTCGATTGAGTTTCGTGAGTTCAAGTCCGTTTTGGAGAATCTTGGTTCGGTAAAATCCTGGGAATCATGTCAATTTCGCAAGATCTATATCCGAGCGAAGAGGATTACCTCTACGAAGAAGAGGTTCTCCGCAATCCCAACAGTATGAAGCTGTGGTGGCGATACTTAATTGCCCGCAGCGGGGCTCCGTTCAAGAAAAGGGCAATTATTTACGAGCGTGCGCTCAAAGCTTTGCCAGGGAGCTACAAGCTGTGGCACGCCTATCTGCGGGAGCGTTTGGAGATTGTAAGGAATTTTCCTGTTAGTCATCCTCAGTTTCAGACGCTGAACAACACATTCGAACGAGCCCTCGCCTATATGCATAAGATGCCTCGGATATGGACAATGTATCTGCAGTCCTTGACTCAGCAGCAGTTGATTACTAAGACAAGGCGCACCTTCGACAGGGCATTGTGCGCCCTGCCGGTCACTCAGCATGACCGCATCTGGGAGCATTACTTGGTATTCGTGTCTCAGAAGGGTGTTCCTATCGAGACATCGTTGAGAGTGTACAGGAGGTATTTGAAGTATGACCCAAGTCACATTGAGGAATTTATTGAGTTTTTGATTAATTCAGAGTTGTGGCAGGAGGGAGCGGAGAGACTAGCAGGGGTATTGAATGATGATCAGTTCTTCTCCATAAAGGGCAAGACAAAGCACAGGTTGTGGTTGGAATTGTGTGATCTGCTGACCCAACACGCCAGTGAGATTTCTGGATTGAATGTGGATGCTATAATAAGAGGAGGAATTAGGAAGTTCACGGATGAGGTTGGGAGACTATGGACCTCACTGGCTGACTACTACATAAGGAGAGGTTTGTTGGAGAAGGCAAGGGATATTTTTGAGGAAGGGATGACAACAGTGATTACAGTGAGAGATTTCAGTGTTATATTTGATGCATATTCACAGTTCGAGGAGAGTATGCTATCCATTAAAATGGAATCATTAGAGGATAGTGAGGATGAAGATGATGAGGAGAATGGGGTGGTGGAAGAGGAGGAAGAAGAAGAAGTAGATGATCGGTTGGATATTGAGAAGTTAAGGAAGAGAATTGACAAATTCTGGTTGAAGGACGACAAGGATGTGGATCTGAGGCTGGCAAGATTGGAGTATCTGATGGATAGGAGACCAGAATTAGCTAATAGTGTGCTTTTGAGGCAGAATCCTCACAACGTAGATCAATGGCATAGGAGAGTTAAGCTTTTTGAAGGGAATCCAACAAGGCAAATTTTGACGTACACTGAGGCTGTGAGGACTGTGGACCCTATGAAAGCTGTTGGGAAACCACATACTTTGTGGGTGGCATTTGCTAAACTATACGAGAGCCATAAAGATGTTGCGAATGCCCGTGTAATCCTTGATAAAGCTGTTCAGGTTAATTATAAGGCTGTTGATCATCTAGCTAGTATTTGGTGTGAATGGGCAGAGATGGAGCTCAGGCACAAAAATTTTAAAGGTGCCCTGGAACTGATGCGGAGAGCCACTGCAGAGCCTTCAGTTGAGGTTAAAAGGAGAGGTAGTCTGTCTATCCTATACTTCTTTCTTTTTTTTGATCTGCTATCTACTGATTATTTTGTTGTAGGATACTTGTGGTAGTTTGGATAACAAAATAAACTGACTTGTAGATTTGTTTAACATAAAGTTGAATCTTACTCATTCAACATAAATCTGTCCAACGCATTAAAATTGAGATGTGCATGTCCAGATTGAAAGTATCAATACCCGTTATTGATTGATTCTTTATATTGTCTTTCTTGTTCATTATTGCCTGGTTATGATGAACATGATTTGGCCCTTCTAGTTACTTATGTGAAACAAATGGATGATTATTTATTTTCTGCCTGGAAAGCCAACTTTTGAGTATAGATAAGTTCACTTGCAAGTAACAAAGTATTAAGCCATTTTAGTTGGAAGGGTTAGGGTTGATAGATTGTATTATCAAGTCGAATCATGTGTTGATTTTGATGGATAATAGTAGGATTCGAACCTAGATGAGGTTCTGATCATCTATCAGAGAAAGAAGAATGAACTGATCTTGTAGTACTCCCGAGAAATGCTTTGATTTTGGATTACTGAAGCAGATTGAATTACACTTGCCATCAAATGATCATTCCCATTAATCTTTTAGGGCCTTAGTCCCAATAAGTACCTGATAAATGCTTCTTTGCCTTTACAATTACTCAATAATAACTTTAAGTAATAATTTAATCTAATGATTGGATTGAATATTTTCTTCTATTGTTGAAATTACTATGATTAATTGATGCTGCATTTCAATCTAATCCAGTTATCCTTTCTCACAATTCCCCTTTGATCTTCGTGGTAGGATCCTATCTCCTATAATAGACAGTTTGAACAAAAATGCGATATTAGAAATGCATGTGATTGAAATTTATATGATATTTTTGTTTTAAATTGAGAATAGACATTTTTATAACTTAATGAGTAGCACATATATATGTCCTTTCTTCTATGAATTACTATGCTACTTTTTGAAATGGCACAGTCCGTGCCATGGCCCTAGGAAATATCTGTTTAACTGTGACAACTATGCATATGATTTACAAATCCTGCCCTTCAACTATTTTTTTTTTCTCCCTTTCCTGCTAACCTGGGCCTCATATAGTTGATAAAGTTTTAGATGATGATTGTTATTAATAATCTAATCTGTTTTAGTATATTTTCCAATTTCAATCAGTTAAGTTCGGTGTTTCAAATTTTAAAAAGTGCCAAACTATACATCTGTTTTGCAACTCAGTTTTTGTCCCTTCCCATCACATCTTTGACACAATATGCATGCTTCTTGCATGATGGAGCATAAAAAGGTTGAACTACTGTATTACAAAACTAATGTTGATGATATGGATATGATTTCAATCTCCCCAAAAAGATGCGGTAGTGTAGCTTGTTCTGAGATTGCTGCTGCAAGTCAATCCCTTTATGTACCTTGAATTACTGGATCACATTATAGGCTGTAGCTTCTTCTCCCTTTGGTTTCCGAAATTTTAATCAAGTTTTAGCTTTGCTGCATTTTCATTTTATACTTTGGAGCAGTCTGAATTTGACTTTTTTGCCATCCATTGTTTAAATTATCATATAAGTGCTGCTGGATTGGAATGCGTTTAGGTTCAAGTTATCATTCTTTTTCTCGGGTTGTAAATTACTATTATCTGTATTATGTGTCGAAGATGCGAATATAATGTTGAAACACTGCTCCCTGAGGTATTCTGCTTCTAACTTTGCAGATGGGTCCTAATCAGTCATATTACATATGTAATTAGAGTGCATAAATAATATATCAACCATAATCATGCATACTAAACTTTCCCTTGGGGTAATAACTGTGGATCATTGTAAATATCTCTTCAAGTGGCTATGAAGAACTATCTCACTGAAGAGATGCTGGTTTGATTTTGTCGAACTTATTTGGATAATTGGCTTGTGAACTTATCCGAACTAGGTGGGGAGAGCTCAAATTATGTAGAGATGATTAAGTTTGGAATTCTTTTTCTCGTGTCTTTTGAATCATGGCATCTCTCTTTGTGGTTATTGCTTTGATTGACTAGAATGTTTTCTGCTTATTTATTAATGATTTTTTTTTTTTGTTTGGTAGTGGCTGCTGATGGCAATGAACCAGTGCAGATGAAGCTTCATAAATCCCTTAGGCTCTGGACATTTTATGTTGATTTGGAGGAAAGCCTGGGTAGTTTGGAGTCGACTCGTGCAGTTTATGAAAGAATACTGGACTTGAGAATAGCCACCCCCCAAATTATAATAAATTATGCAATGCTTTTGGAAGTAAGTAGAAAGTAATGTGGTCATGGTTTCCCTTGCTTTACTCTTAAATTTTGCTGACTGAAATAATGTGCTATGTATTATTGATGCAGGATAACAAGTACTTTGAAGATGCATTTAAGGTTTATGAGAGGGGTGTGAAGATTTTTAAATATCCTCATGTCAAAGATATCTGGGTCACTTATCTTTCTAAGTTTGTTAAGAGATATGGCAAATCTAAACTGGAACGTGCTCGAGAGTTATTTGAGCATGCTGTTGAAATGGTATGATTTTAAGTGCATGGTTTCCTTAAACTATAATTATTTACTGTGGTAAATTATTTATAAAAACCACATTCTTCCCTTTATCAGGCTCCTGCAGAAGCTGTGAAACCCCTTTATCTTCAATATGCAAAACTCGAGGAAGACTTTGGTCTTGCTAAAAGAGCAATGCGGGTATACAGTCAGGCAACCAAGGCTGTCCCCGCCCAGGAGAAATTAGGAATGTATGAAATATACATTGCTCGGGCTGCTGAAATATTTGGTGTACCCAAAACCAGAGAGATTTATGAACAAGCTATAGAGTCAGGTCTGCCAGACAAAGATGTGAAACTTATGTGTATAAAGTATGCTGAACTTGAGAAGAGCCTTGGTGAAATTGATCGCAGTCGGGCACTTTATAAGCATGCGTCGCAGTTTGCTGATCCAAGATCTGATCCTGACTTCTGGAACAAGTGGCATGAATTTGAGGTGCAACATGGAAATGAAGATACTTTTAGAGAGATGCTCCGAGTTAAACGGAGTGTTTCTGCAAGTTACAGCCAGGTAATATACCTAGTTACCTCTTCTCGTAAAACTTAGTTTTTAATTTTGTTTATCAGACATATATTGGCCATTTTCCATCAGCCTGACCAATCTGTTTTTGTATTTTTACAGACCCACTTTATTCTCCCAGAGTATTTGATGCAAAAGGATCAGTTGCAGACCCTTGAGGAAGCTAAGGATGTCCTAAAGAAAGCTGGTGTGGAAGAGGATGAAATGGCTGCCCTCGAAAAGCAATTACTTCCTAACCAAGACAATCCTACATCAAAAGATGCTGATAGGCGTTTGGGATTTGTGAGTGCGGGCTTGCAGGATGGAGGAGAAGTCAAGAGAAATAAGGAGGATATTGAGCTTCCCGAAGACAGTGACTCTGAAGATGAGGGCAATGTTCAGATAGCACAAAAAGATGTTCCAACAGCCGTGTTTGGAGGTCTGACACGAAAAAGAGAAGAAGAGGTGGATAAAGATTCAGAAGCTGGTGGTGAGCCAACTGGTTCAGAAAGCAAAGAGAGTGATGGGCAATTGGGTGCATTGGAGCGTATCAAGCGAATGCGACGAGGTGCATAAAGTATTAAAGTCTCCAGCCTTAATCCTTCGTACTCGTTAGAATTTACCATATTTGTGGTCAGATCATTACCATTTCTTGAGGTTACCATGGGGCTGTTACCGCTCATTCAAGGTTAGTGCTTTCGTTTTTCGGTTGTTGCATAGTTCCCGATTGATTGTCTTTCAGGGATGCTCTCCAGAATCAGGAAATATTAAGTGAAATTTTGTAAGCCCTTTCTTGATTCTTTTTGTCCCTATGTTTATGGATTTTAATGTACTTGTGTAATGTTTAGCCTTTTAACAATTTCTCATTTCATAGATATGGTTTATGGCCTTTATTGGTTCACTGCTTAAAATTCAATTTATACCAGATTTTACATGACTAACATTTTCTCATTCTTTCTTTAGTTGATTCTGTCTCTCTCCTCCACCATTCTCAGCCTGACCATTCTTTCCTTTTATTCTGTGAGAAACTATCTTGTTTCCTGATTTATTTGCTTTTCCTATGCATGAGGTGTAGATATTGCCCATGCTCGTTTATATATGAGAATCTATTATTATTATTATTATTATTATTATTATTATTATTATAAGAATGAGAATCGTATTGGTCAAATGTTTGCATTTTATAATATTAATGCAATTGTTCATTTGACACATGGAAGAACTTATTATAGTTTCTTTATATTATATACATAGAGATTCATAACTGAGATTGAATTTGGACAATCCATATAATACCCGTGTAAATAATTACCAGAAGATTTTTAGATAATCTTCTCTTCTTTTTTTTTTTTTTTTTTTTTTGGCTAAAATTACTTTGGGTTTATTTTTGAGGTTTTGAAATATAAAAAATTGTCCATAAATCATTTTGAAGGTGTCGGACAGTGACAAGTTTATTCCTCACATCACCAGACCACCTCTTACGGGATCACATATTAGTTCTTCTTCGGGAAGAGAAATGAATACTAGTTAAACAATATGATATATATTTTAGACCTATCTGTTGATTCCATGTGATAGTTTTCATGTTGTTTGAAAATGGGTTCTAGAAGTGTTGAATTTTTCTATTTTCTCGTTAGAAAGTTGGATTAGAATATTCTTAGCATGGTTGTCACGGCGTCGCCATGGACCACGGCGTTCTTACACTCTTCGGGGAGCGCCAGGCGTCACCGCCCTGCCTTGTGACATAAGGCGGTCTGGCGACGTCGCGGCGTGTGGCCCTAAACCCGAAATCAAGCCCTAACCCGATTCTACCCTTAAATCTACTTAAACCGGACTGAACCGGTCTGAATATAAGGATATTCTCTGTTTTGTTGCGTCGCTGTTGTGTTTCTGCGAATCTTCCCCTCCGCTCCAGTCTGCCGAAGCCGCTCCAGTCCACCAACGCCGCACCAGTCGCTGAAGCCGCGCTCCAGTGAGTGGAATCTTAATTAATTTTGATTTCTCGGTGGAATCTCAATTTTGATCTTTTATGCACACAATTGATTGAAATTGCTGCATATGCTTTATTTTTTTATTTATTTTTATATTATTATTCTATTATTAGTTTTTTAATATATATAGCTAGATTTTTAATAATATTTAGTTAATTATTTATATATATATTATTTGTTAATATAATAATATTATTTATTTTTATTTTGCAACATATTTTCTATAATTTTTCATTTTATAAAACAAGTTTTTTATTTATTTTGTATTATTTTGACATATTGATATATAAATATTTATGGGATTAAATTTGCTATGGCCGAAAGTGAAGCGTCAACGATAGATCCATCCAAAGATTCCAAAAGAAAATCTAAGTCAAATGATTCGGGTTGGAAATATACTTTTTGGCCGGACTTGAAAAATAGAGATTTGGTAGAATCTTCCCTTTGCCATAAGCAAGTACAATCGGGAATAAAACGATTGAAACAACACTTGCTTGGAAGGCAAGGGGTATCGCACGACTCAGTTTCTTATCCTAGCTCGGGTACTTTGAGCAAGAGGAAGCGTTCGCAATCTGTTCTAAATTTTCCATCGATGCCGTCACAACGTGGAAAAGAAAGCAAGTCGGTTGCTTCAATGCTTAGAAAAACCCCGGAGGAAGTCATTGAGGAAAGACATAGCAAAACGAGTAGTGGAAGTCAAAGAACATTGGAAGCGTGTACAAGGAGCAAGGAGGAGATCGAAAGATTTCATGGACATATTGCCGATTTTTTTTACGAAAATGGCATACCATTCAATATGGCAAAGTCTCGAAATTTTGAGATAATGATTTAGTCAGTGGGGCAGATCGGACCAGGTGTAAGAGGTCCAAGTTATCATGAATAACGAGTTCCTCTTTTGGAGAAGGCGGTAAAAAAGACAAACATCGAAAGAAAAATATGTTATTGCTTGGAAACAATACGGATGTTCACTTATGGCCGACCGGTGGACGGATAAAAGAGGGCAGCGTTTGATTAATTTCCTCGTCAATAGCCCATAAGGTACATTTTTTTTGGAGTTGATTGATGCATCAAGTCAAGCTCAAGTTGCATCACTATTGGTGGATTTACTTCAGACAAAAATTGAAGAAATTGGAAAAGAATACGTGGTTCAGGTAGTAACGGACAATGGTGCTAATTTCAAGGCAGCGGGGTAAAATATTGGAGCAGCGCATACCCACTTTATATTGGACTTCTTGTGCAGCTCATTGCCTTGATCTTATGTTGGAAAATATCGGGAAATTGTCTGTTTTCCCGGCAAAGATTGACAATGCAAGAAGAGTTACTACCTATATCTATAAGCACGTAAGGCTCCTTAATGCGATGCGGGAGAAGACGGACGGCAGTGATCTTGTGAGACCTGGGCCTACCCGGTTTGCTACTTCATTTTTGACTTGCAGAGCTTATATAAGCATAGGGATGCTTTGAGGAGCTTATTTTTGAGCGAAGATTGGACTGCATCGAAATTGGCTAATACAAATGCCGGGAGATTAGTAGCAAACACGATATTGTCTTCTCCTTTTTGGACCGGTGTGGAGTATTGTATAAAAGTATCGCATCCACTTCTAATTGTTTTGAGGATTGTTGATAGGGATGAGAAGCCAGTGATGCCGGAGCTTGCAGTAGCGATGAATGAAGCTAAAAGGAAAATAAAAGAAGATTTTGAGAAAAAGCCAAATTTGTTGAAAGAAGTTATGTATATTATTGATTATCGGTGGGAGGATCAAATGGAAGTCGAGTTGTATGGAGCTGCATTATTTCTTAATCCTTCCAAGTACTTTGATCTCAAGGTGAGTGATAATGCATATGCTCGTAAGGCACGAGCTATGTTAAATGATGTTCTTGAAAAAATGGTCACTGATGATGAATTGCAAACAAAGATTTGTGATCAAGTCGATGATTATGATAATATGCGGGGAAGCTTCGGAAAACAATTGGCTATTAAGCAACAAAAGGCGAAAAGTCCTCGTAAGTGCTTAATTTTTATAATTTCTATTTTATTTATTTATTTTTTCCATTTTTCTTTAGAGATCGAACTAAATATATTTTTTTAATGTTTTACAATTTTAGTTGATTGGTGGAATACTTTTGGAGGCCTTCATTTCGAGCTTCAATCACTTGCCTTTTGTATAATTAGTCTTTGTTGTTCGTCCTCCGGGTGTGAACGCAATTGGAGCTCATTTGAATTTGTAAGTATTTAATTACTTATATAAATAATATATTAAGCATTATTGCTATCGTAGTCATATACTAATATATTATAATTTATTTATTTTTTAGATTCATACGAAAAAACGAAATAGATTGGAGCATAAGAGATTGAACGATTTAGTTTTTGTTCAATACAATCGAAAAATTGCGAATAGATTTCAAAAGAGGCGCGAGGAAGGAAAGAACTTCAATCCTTTAGTGTTTGAGGAATTTGAATGGGATAATGAGTGGGTTCTCGACACCAATGATGTAGTTCATTCGGGAGAGGATCTTACATGGAGTCATGTTGATGAAGCTATGGGTGCATCGGCCAATCTTGAACGCCGCAATATTCCTAGAAAGAGAAATATCAGAGATACATTGGGTTCATCAATACAATTATACTCTAGACGTCCTAAGAAAGCGTCAACTTCGGCATTGATGGAGCAAAAATTAGACGATGAAGATGTATCATTAGATGATGACATTGATGATAATGATTTGGAAGATATTCCTAGTGGTAGTGGTGGACTTGAGCTCTTTGATTGTTGAACTTTGAGATGATTAAATTGGTGGTTTAGAGATTCATGGATCGTATTTTTTTTTTTTGTTTGATGATTGAAATTATATTTTTTATGGTATTATATTTCTTTTTATGGTTTAAGGTATATGATATTTATAATTATATATATCTATTTAATTTTATATATAGTACGCTGCGTTCGCCATTTTGTCGTCATGGCGGGCGCCACGTCGCCATGGCGGTATGGCGGTCCCCCTAGCGCCGCACTGCAAAAGGGCGCCGTGACAACCATGATTCTTAGGGCTTATATAGAAATTATTATGGTGTTTTAAGTTGAAAGTTGAAGCATTTGTGAAATGAATTAAAAACATTAATTTTGCCCAAAACTTTTTGAGAGGGAAATATGATCACTGTTATATATTATGATTTTTTAGGTTAAATTATGAAATTTTGAATAAGCATATTGTCCAAATGGTTGTTTGGCAAAATATGATGGGACTTGAGGGATTTTAAATATTTTCTTCATGCATTTAGTTGTCAAATGAAAATGTTGTTAAGATGGAAATATTTTATGAGCAAATTTGAAATTTTTGTTTAGCTTTCGCTTATGTTCAAAGCCGGCGTAACTTTCAAAGAGTGTGGTGCAAAATAAAAAAATATTGGCCCTTAAATATATATATATATAAGTAATATATTTTTATTTATAATAAAATATAAATAATTAAATAAAAAAATTTCAGTTGAGATTTCTGTTTAAGATTTGCCTAACAGCATGTGTCTATTGAGTCAATTTGGTAATTGAAATTATTCGTCGAGTCCGATTAACTCGTTGATTGTATAGGATGCTAATGCGTAGCCTTCCACTTCCGTGCCTTACAAATACGTGAGTATATACCGGTATTTTAGGATAAGTTAAAATTACATTTTAATTCCGGGGGAATGGTTGGCTAATAGATACGGTTGTCCTTGCTCATTATCTTTATCGTGCATATAATCCCCATATTGGGGATAATAGTGTTTTGTAAAATTGTATTCATATCCTTGTGCATATTTATGTCGAGTGAAGCTTCGGCTTCATCTTCATCTTTATCTTCTTCGGGGCAACCATCTTCTAGCACT